CCAAAGAAATTTGACAAAAGCAGATCCTTCACAGATTGGTTCAAGGATATGTCCCGCAGTTACAATGTCTTGATGATTAAATGTCTTGATGATCAAAATAATACTCCTTTCTTAAGATTCAGTACAAGGAGAACAGTAATGCTTATGCTCCAAATTACATCAGGGCTCTATTCCATTCAAGAAAAGCTGTAGAAAAATTCTAGATAGCTTAAGGTTGTTTTCCTTTATTAGTTTTTAGTACATTTATAAATACAAGTAAATTTTATTGAAAGGAAAACTTCTTTTCACTTCCAATCACTTCTACAAAATTTTCCCAATTCTTCATCAGAAATCCCATTGGTTAGGTTTCTACAGAGAACAGGAACATTTCTGTAAAAACCTACAGTATAGGCCATCCACAGCTTATTTATGTAAGGGAGAGCTAATTCATTTAAATGAATAGATTCTTTCTCTTTTACCTGTGTCACCAACATGAGTAAATATTGACACGTAAGCTGATTATCCTATAATAATCAAATCAAAAGGTCTTTATTTCTGCATTCGCTTTGATAGAGAAAAATGTTCAATGACTCCCAGTGCACAAGATGGTTTTAATGTTACATTCTCTGCTGTTATTCTTTTTTCGTTGGTATTTGCTTTTAACACTCATGCTCAGTTTTACCCAATTGTATTTGAGACTACTGTAACTAAATCTCGTTGTATGGGAAATGGCCTTTCGGCACCACTTACCCAAGAGATTCTGTGACAGTAATTTTTTTTGATCGACCGAAGGTTGGCTGGCTGCTGTGGTTTTCTGTACCCTTGATCGGAGTGAGCGGTCTATGGTCCCCGGCTCTTCGCCATCTCTCTGGTACAAATTGGAGTGAGCTCTGACTGCTGTCGTTGCACTAATGGCTCCATGCCTCTCTCCCTTCCTGCTTCTCTGTCACTTGAGGTTACAGCTGGTTGTGTCTCCGGATCTGTCGCCTTCTTCCCCCGGGGCTGCTGGTTGCTCTGATCTGCTCTCTACGTGCCTGCTTTTCCTACCTCCGAAACTGCCGACAGCTGTGGTCTGCTTCTGGGTCCCTACTTCTTTCAATCTAAGGTGTGGACAGCTGTGAACTTTTCCTGCGTACATACTGCACGAGTTTTTGTGACGCACCGGAGTCCCCATCTTAATTGTGTTTGTAATGAAAATAATAATCAGCCTTCCTCTGTTTTGTACTCTACCTGATATTTGCCAATTTCCTTCATAGTGGTACAGTATATGCCCTTAATTACTGGGAAAGACTGAAACAGAAGGCAAAATTAGATTAATGTAAGTTCTGATAGTTCTTAATTCCATGGTAAGTCTAGAATTTGTAAGAGGGAATTAAGGAGCATTGCTTGTTTAGTCACCCTGTCACTCGAACTAAAACTGATGCAAAGCACTGAGTTTGCTTCTCCTGCTTAACCTTTTGGCTGTAATGCGTATTTCATAACTTCAATGTGTATTTCAGAGCTTTAATAGATTTTTTTTATGGTTTAAAAAATGGTTTACATCCTTAGCAGAACCTGTGCTTTGATAAACGGTGATTTTAATTTTCATATTAATATTTCTGCTGCTTCCTTAGTACTTGTTTTTTTTTTAATGGGGCTGGAATCTGATTGCTTCACACAGCAAAATAAAGTACTAAGATCTTGAATTGTAATCCCCTTTCAAATACACAGACTGTCCATTCTTCAAACAGAAAACCTTGGTTTCCACTGGAATTTTGGATTTTTTTAAAAAGAAGAGCTGACTTGAAAGGCTTACAGCAAATCTAATTTATCTGATCATGACTTTTTATATGGGCTAATGGCCTCTACATCAACACAATTTCAAAGCCAATTCAAATGTCTAGGCTGGACAGTGATATAACCTGTAACAAAGTAGCTGAATTTTGCCTGCATAAAGCCTCTTCAAATTGGCTATTTGTATTTCAGTCAAAGGAGTGACTGCACACTCCCACTGTTGTGAACTGACAATTCTAGCAGTACACTTTTGAGTGAGATAGGCAATATACACGCTCATAAATTGTTCAAAAGATTCAAACAAGATTACTAAGATCAGTGACATCTTGCTGGTGAAACATAATATGATCATGGCAGAGACAAACACATTAAAGCCTTCAAAACTGAATGTAAATATAAAAGATGCCTCATTAAAGAACAAAAAAATAGGATGGCCGAGAACATGGATATAGCACAAAATTCACTGCTGTTTGACAATATTAGAAGCGTAAGGAACTGAGAAATCCATTTGCAAAAATCTAGGATCCTCTACTGCTGCACTGTAGCTGCATGTCACTTTAAAAAACACTGCTAGATAAGATACACATTTCAGCTACTGATCCTACAATATATATCCAAAAGAACAAACTGTAAGTGCAATCCCATTATTACTATCTTTGTACTGAGGGCAAAGTGATAAAAATTGATCTACTTCACTCAGTTCTGCTTAGTTCAATACTGTTGGGCAATTCTACATTTATAGACCCTTTTCACTCAATGATTATCCTTTTTATTTACAAATGATATTAATGACAAGGAACACCTGACAATGAGTCAGAAATTAGATCTGGTTGTTAAATGTGACAGATTATTTACTGCATCATTTCCTCTTAGCTGTTCATGTGCAGTTTACCTTGAATTGTTGAGATCAGGTTTTTGAAGATTGCAATCAATGTGAATTAAAGGTTCCTAAATGACAAGCTTACTGCCTTTTCACCTAAGATATACTGTATTAATAGTCAAAGTCATTGACTATTTGAGTATAGTAATGTTGCTTAAAAAACACGTGTACAGTGTATACTGTATGTAAAACTCCAGTCTGTGTCTGGGATGTCTAGGTCATTTCCACAATAGTGTATTTCTTTAGGATTCCATGCAGAATAACAGTGGAGTCCCAGCTTATCATAATATGTATCTCCTCCAATACCAGCTGACAATCAGTAGTGTTATGAGCTGAATGGCACCAGTGTTTTATTATACATTTAACTATATTTAATTTTCAATCACAACATTTATTTATTGATAATTTCACTAAAAAAGCAAGATGTGTTTACCTTTTGCTCACTCAACTAACCTGAAACCACTACTCCCAAAATAGCAGCAGCAAAGTTAAAGCCCTGGGTCAAACGGTTGATAACACAGTCCTCTGTGGACATTTCCTTGAATGAAGTTAGACCAGGACTACATTAAATGCGCATAGATTCTCAGGTTCACATAATCAACCGTTCATTTTCTAATTTCTTTATCCAACAGGGTCTCAGGGGAGCTAGAACTTATCCCAGCAAGCAACGGAGGCAGGAAACTCCCTGGACAGGAAACCGGTGGATCACAAGGTACACATTTTTGGAAGAAAATATCAAAAGGGACTATTTTTTTTTTAATTAACACCTTCAATTAAAAAAAAAACAGAAGTTGACATTTAATTAAAATGTGTAGGATTTCTCCATCTCACCATCACAGTTTTTTTTTAAAGTGCAAATCAGCCCCTGCAGAATCACATTACAATTTTTAAAAAGCTGAAAGACAATAAAATCACAACAGATTATACATTACTGAAATTAATTTTAATATTTAAAAATGGGCTCTCGTTCAATAGAGTTTACAGCTGGAAAACACCATCAGTATATTTTTCCTTGCAAAAGTATTCAGACCCTTGCACAGTTTTCATATTTAGTTGTTTTGAAGCTTGCATTCATGACACTTTCAAGCAGCAACTCATATTTTTATATACACAGCCTACTCCACAATTTCAAAGCCAAAACTAAAAGCATTCAAACCTATGACAAACCAAAATTTGGGTTTAGACCTATTCAATCCTATAACAAACCTAAATCTATGTGTACAAAATATCTTAAAGAGACACAAAATTAGTGCCTTCCATTATTTACAATAATAGAAGTTCTTATGATTTTCAGTTTCAGAAACACCCCTGTGAGGTTCCTTGATCAGGAAGAGAATTTCAAGCAAATAGTCAGCCATTAAACTAAGGTGCTTTCAGAGAAGTCAACAATAAAGTCACTAAGAAGCATTGTTAGCAGCTGGTCAAACTTAGCAAACTGTAGACAGGATAGTGGCATCTTTGAAAGAGCTACAGAATTCAGTGACTGAGGTGGAAGAAAATGTGCATCAATCAAAAACATCCCAGTCACTCCACAAAGCTGGCCTGTAAGGCCATCTCCTATCCCGCATGGAGTTTGCAATTAAGCATCTGAGTGATCCCCCCCAAAAAAGTGGCAAAAGGTGTTGTGGTCATGTAAGACCAAACTGAAACATTTCGCCAAGTGTCAGGCTTGCCACAAGCCCAACATGGCAAATGTCCCAGTCACCACCATCCCGGCAGTCATGCACGGTGGCTGCAGCATCATGCAATGGGGATGGTTCTCATCAGCTGGGATTAAAAGACTGTATAGAAAATGTCCTCAAAAGAATCCTCAGTAAATAAACTGTAACAAGTAATAATAAAGGCCATGCTACCCACACACCTTGTAAATGATAAATTCCATAAAGCTACTGATCAACCCATTTCCTAACCACTGTATCCAATTCAGTGGCGCAGGGGAGCCAGAGCCTATTCCAGCAAGCACTGGGTACAAATGAGAATTACTGTAGAATCACACCCAGGTCGGGACTCCACACTCACACCAGGGCCAATTCTGCTACACACTAATGAAAAATATAGTATGTCTTTGGACTGTGGGAGGAAACCGGAAGGGCTGGAGGTAACCCACGGGAACAAAGGGAGAACGTACAAACTCCATGGCGACAGCACCCCAGGAACTGAACCCAGGACCCCAGTGCTGCGAGGCAGCAATGATGCACCAGCAAGGTCAAATGTTGTACTTGATGCAACTTATTGTTTTTACATTCTTTCTTAATCACAACAAATAGTGCTTCACATTTAATAGATACCATACTTGGGAATACTTCCTTGGCTATTAAAGGAAATTATCATATAGACACTCGAACAGACTAGAAGATGGTGTACTCACCATAGTCTGTGTTTTCAGGCTCCCAACAGTTTGATGGCCAAAAATAGGGCGTCTGTGGGAAAAAAAGCAGAATGGAGACAACATTAATATGAGGCTGAAAAAAAACAAATACTGTGAAAAGTGAAAGGATGAGAAATCCACTTTTTAAATGAGCTATGGACAGCTGATTCCACCACATTTCATCTTCAGATATAATGCATTTTATATATGCATTTTTACTTTCAAGTCTACCTATAAAGAACATTTACTTTTTTTTTAAAAAGTATTTTATTTTAGTATGAGTTTGAACACGTAAGTGGCTCAGCCATTAAAGGTGCAGAGTCCAGGTGTATGTTGAGCTTTATGATCCAGGTATGATCTTATCATTGCCTGCATTCAATGGTGTGCAGTAGTTTGCAACACAAAAATGTTTCAACAACTACTAACTGCCACTATTCACACATTGCATTTTCTCACAGGACACCATTAGTTTAAAATGAAAAAAAATTGTTCAAAGGCCTCAGAAAAACACTCAATTTTTAAAACATTTTATGTTTTATAGCATTGTGTGCACAAGTGTTCCACAGGAATTAATATAATTTAAAATTGTGCTTACTTGAGGTTTCTGTAGCCATTTCATTATATAGTGGCTTTAGTAATTGATCTACACATTATTTTACTTCTTGTAATTTATTTAATTTATCTATCATATAAAAAAAAACACTGATCAGTTCATTCAGTCTGAACAGTTACCAGAAAAGTCGGACTATCACAAATGCTTTAATAATCTCATTGTCAGAGAAACTTATTTGCTTGTAATCTTACAATGTTTAAAATAACAGTTCATGACACAGTACATGTCTAAATTTCTATTATATAAACACTGCCATCCAACCCAAACTCTTGAATGCTCTATGCCCATATTGGTGGATTCGAAAGAATACTGAATGTTTCCAAGCATCTGACAGACATAACAAAAAAAATAAAAAAACTGAATGTGGAATATATGGAGACAACTGACGGGACAACCATTATTTAGAAACAGATTTGAAGAAACATCAGAAGCTAAAAATAAATGAAGCAATAAAATAAACCCATTGGCATAATTATTTTTTGAAGAACAACAGCTACAAATATAATAGTTATTGACCATTTTGCTTTCACTCACCAGTAATTGTCCCTTGAGAAAGAAATTTATCATGTTGAGTTGCTTTGCCTCATTATGCTTGATTAAAACTTCATGTAGGCTTTATTGAAAGAAATTTGTCTGCATAATTAGCTTTTTTTTTTATAAGACAGTGATTTGCTTGGTTTGTGTTCAATGACAACAGCTCAGGAGTTGATATAATCATGCATCTTTGCTTTCAGTTCTACATGGCACCATTTTTAAGTTTATTCTGAACTTTTTGGGAGTCGCGTCTAGCTCCTGACTGGAAGGCCCTGGGTTCAATCTCAGGTAGGGGCAAGCGATGGAGCTTGCTTGCTCCAATTCCTTCCAGACGTCTCCCAGGTCCACTCAGCCTGCTTTCCAAGTGAGTACTGGGGGTTAATCCTTCCAGGGGTAATAGGCAGGCCGAAGCGTGATGCTGACCCCGTCACCTCCACCTCCAGTGTCGGATGGTCAAGAAAAATGGTGGCCTTTGCCCGCCGTTCCCCATGGGCCTTGATGGCCTAAAAAGGGGCCTACCTACCTACTGAGGTTTTTCAGAAAATGACTCTTAAGAAAAAATTACCTGTTTAAAAGAAATACATTATATAAACTCAGACATTTTTAAAATGTATTGATCCACCAAAATAAGGCGGTGATGCTGCCAAATAAAACCGAAGTCCGGGAACATCTTTCAGGCCTATACCATTCTTAAAGGGGCAGTTTTACGCTCTCCAAGAATTTCTATAGGTTGTATCAGATGTAAAAAATTCCTGAAATCTATTACCCTCTATTATGAGGGAAGTAAGGGAGATATAGCAATGCAGTTGCAATCAATATTTCCTCTTCCTTCAGTACTTTTCAGCACTTCTGTTGGAAGCTCTATGACATTTGGAATCCTCAGCATGATCCCATGCTGTGCTTGTGCAGGTCATGAGTGTTGGTAACTTTCACTCGCTCGTCCAATCATCTACAGGCCAGTATTCTTATCCTGACCCCTGTGGTGCCCAAACGAACTGATTAGAATTCATTTCACTGTCAGACTGCCACTTGCAATGTATTCCAAGCCACTCATCCCTGCTGTCAGTAACTTCCAGGTGAAAATAAGCGACTCTTGCCCTTTCCTGCAGATGCACGGACATTAACTTCCAGTACACTGTGTACTGTACCTGAAACCTGTAGAAGGTGCCGTCATCCTTAAGTGTTAGGACATGGTCAGAGATTGGAAAGAAGTAGCCATGTGCTGCCATCAATGTGCCAAGATGAAGAGCCTCAACTGTAACAAAGAAACAGACTTAATGGTTTTTAATCTTGTGATTAAAAACAGTGTAGCAAGATTATCATGTTATCATTATCATATGTAATTCAGTTCCGTTGTAAAATTGGCATTCACAGCATGTTGTATACACTTTTCAAACTTCAAAGTTGAAATAAAGGACACCTCAGTACAGTCATTCATAATTAACAGGCAATCAAAAGACTCAAAGAAACTTCTTTTGTGAGCTTCAAGATAAGAATAAAACATAAATGTTAAAATTGTGTAACTAGAGTCATGTAAGAAAACAGGGACTTAATTCTGTAAAGACAACACATGGAGTTTGAAGTAAAAAACCATGTTCTACAAAAAAGACAGTCGTCACTTTTATCAATACTACTGTAAAACCGAGAAAAACCTGCCTTAATGGCTACAAGATACATTCGTTCAGAGAAACATTCTGCTGTTTATAAGCAAGATTACAAAACCTCCGGCCTCCCCAAACAACCTCAATTAAACAAGTGAAAATAATTACACACTAAATATATCTCCCCTAAGACATCATATACCATCAAAGAAGCAGTGACAGGTTTGACAGGCAATTATCTGAGACACAGGACATGACCAATGGTTAAAAATGAGCAAGGCTGTATATTAGCCTCAGTTACAATTTTAACTGAGGTTTGTGAAATCAATGTTGCCTACTGTCACTGTATTGCCATGATATTTTAAATTCAAGTTAAGATTTAAAGAAATAAAATACAATTATTAACTTTGAAAGTGCACAAAACTCCTGTAGACAAATACTACACAATTCTCTCAAATTACCACTGTTGTAATTTTTGTCAATGTCTCGTGCAACCTTTGTACTGTTTATTATGTAAATAAATCCAGTGTTTAATCTATGGTTTGTCAGGTTATCAAAGTTTATGTAGTGAATTATTTAATGTTGTGATGAAGAATAGTGATGTCAGTTCACAAAAATGTAAGCACTCTGTCTAAGGAATAAAAGTTTTATTTAAAAATGCAGCCTGTTGAGTTTAAATGAGCGTGTATGAAATATTAAAGGACATTTCTGAAAGCAAAAATAAGTTAAAAAATATTTTGCATTTAAATAATGACAGAAGTGGTTCAATTTTGAGTCTTTTATAAAATCTCTTGTATTATAATATCTTGTATTATTGCATTGTTATAGAGAGACAAATGAACCCAGTTTTAATCAAAACAACGTTTATCATTAACCCTGCCCTGATGGTGCAGTCTTGGTATACTCTTCCTTAATGATCTTAATGTCATCATTATTCTCTGTCAGTGCCACAGGCTGGTGACAATAAAAGCACTGTTGCAGTTCTGCCAGCTGCTGTTATGAGAGCCACCCACTGGTGTCCTTATCACAAGCACGGCGAGTGGTAGAGCACCACTTGATCCACAGTACAGAGAACAGCAGAGCCAAATACCAGTATGACTGCCTGCCAGCCATGCCTGCAAAAAGACCACGAAAGGGTTCATTCTCCAGTATTCTCCAGGTTAATCCAGTATTATTTGAAATCGCTAGATGGAACGTGCTATCTACTGTAACTGTTAGAAATCTGTTACAATATGTATGCAATTAAAAAAATATTAAAAGTGTGTAGGTATTTAATTGTTATCCAGGTCAGTTTAAAACACCAGACCACTGGTTTATGCACAATCCCAACATTCTTACAAATGCATTAGTTACGAGACGCTTCTTGCAACTACCCAATGCAAAACTTTCATTACGCAGAGTACTGGGTTTGAAATGAGTTTTGTGGGTGGTTTTAAAAATAATGATTCAATCCCCATCTGAATTTTCTGTAAAAGATCTGTGAACATCACTAATTGGACAACAGTAGAGCATGTAGGTCAGGCTTTTGCAAAATATCCTCTTTGCTTCTAAAGCTACAAAGCAGCTAAGGAAAATAAACCAAACATTTCCAACCACATCCTATCAGATGTGCAATTTTGTTTTGTTTCTGTTTTCACTTTTAATCATTTCCCAGCATTAGCAGAGAGCTGGATTACCCATATTAGTTTCCAAGGTCAGCCATGAAACTTAAAAAAAGAGTCAGTATAGAAAATTGTAAAAGACACAGCTCCTGATGACTAATTTATCAGCTGGTATCTAAATGACACAGCAGATGGCATAAAAAGAATAATCCTGCACCTATCTCGGGCATAATTGCTCACTAGGCTGCAGGCAAATGTCTTTGTCATTTCCTTATGTTTCTACTGAATAAAGTTTAAAGATTCTTTGACCCCTTTCAATCTTTGTGAATTTTCTCTTTTTATTGCTGAGGCAGCTAAATGTACAGAACTGTTACAGCTTCATTCAGTATCTTCTTCACTAATGAGCTAGACTGTACTAGAAAATGAATATGGGTAATGTTGTGGCATTGATGTGGGTTTGGAAAATAGTAGCTTCATCAGCAATTATTGTCTCTGGTCAGGGTAAGGTTAAGTGAGATACGGTGTGGACAAGCTAACAATTTGTAAAAGGCTGGCAGATTTATGTTGTATGATGAACAAAGAGAATCCCAGTTGGCTCCTACTAAAATGTATTCAGTAATTTATTAGTGGGATTGAATGAATGGGATATACAGTACTAAGGTTACTGTACTCCCATACACACAATAACATGCTGAGTAGTTCTCCAAATACCAAAAAGAAATTACTATAACCTTACAGCCTGAGTGCACTAATTAGGAAAAGCATACTCTGGGAAAAGCATTGTATTATCTTAATAATACAATGACATTGAATTTGAAATTGATTCAAAATGGTCTGTTTTATACTACATTTACAGCAATCAACATGAAAGGTTCTATACATTTCTTGAGTCTTTGTTTATTAAGGTATCATCCAGAATGTGTTTTAATTGGAATCTTCAAGAAGAAATAATCCCGATACCTAGAGGGCATATTTAATTTTTGGTTGAGAAACCGACAAGGCTTTGGCATGGAATTCAATGAGCAGTGATGACTCTGATGTACGAATCTTTACATTTGGATGGAGTGGTTAGCATTGCTGCCTTGCAGTACTGGGGGCTCTGGGTCCAGCTGTAGACCTGGGGTGCTGTGTGGAGTTTTTATGTCCTCCTCTCTATACTGTACATGCTGGTAGGTGAATTGGCTTGTTTGTGTCTGTGTGACTGCCCTGCGATTGGAGTCCAGTCCAGGGTGCTATCCCTGCCTTGTGCCTGTTGCGTGCTCAGACAGACTCAGACTCCCCTGCGACCCAGAATTGGATGGAACTTAAAATTCTTTAACCATCTTGGTCAACCCAGTTTATTTCTTCCGTATAATCTACTGTATTGAGCTAATGGAGGAATTTAATTACTAGTGTGGTTTACAATGCACTTAGAATATTTAGCATTGCAGTAAAAGTTCACGTAGAGCCAATATTCAATATTACTTTGCTTGTTGTCTTAGGTATGCAGGTAAACAATGACTGATTTGTAAGATTCCCTTTTAATCAACATCATTAACATATTAAAGAAAATGACAGGCTGTAATGTTTACTGTAGCAAATGGAAAACCCAAAAATTAAAAACATTCTAAGACATTTGAGATATTTAGTCTTGTCATTAAATGACAAAAATGTATACAGTATATTCATTTAACAGCTTCAATTGATCCATTACTAAAAGTATTTCTAAAATTAAAGTAAATAATACACAGAGAGAATTTGTTACTGTATTATAGACACTCAACAGCATTTCATGCTTGATGGGTTTACTCAGTGAACAGTCATCGACTGTTCTTCATTGACTTTCCAATGTAATTTTATGTTAAACATGTTTTAACACTGATTCTGTGCAAGGCAGTTAAAGGTTTAAAAAAAATTTTGGCATTTGAACCATATTTGGTGCTTACCAGAAATGCTTTACATTTAATTTTTCTCCAAAGACTTTCAAAGATAAGCCTCTTTAGCAAATAGTGTAAAACTGTACGATTTCCATCACCAGGAGAAGCCAGCAGAACCGCCCTGAGTTGAAGTACTGTATTCGTGGGAACATCCAACAGTGAACATCTGTGCAGTAGATGATTTTTCCTCCAGCAAAAGAGCCCAGCCAGGCCTGTCCTGCCTGTTTGCAAAAGGCACTGGGAAACTGCAGGGGGTCACTCACAGCATGAGAGAGGGAAGTGTTTTTCATCTGTACGATGAGCTCTAGCCTGTCACCTGACAATAACCTGATTTCCCAGGAGTACTGAGGTTTATTTTAACACTATGGCCCATGGCAAAAAAAAAATGACAAGAGCTGGGATCAGAAAGTATTTTTTCATGTTTCATTTTATACTTGATTGCAAAGGTTAAGAAGGCCAAGGTCGAGAGAGGATTTATGCTTTGTTTGAACACTGTGCATCTTGAATACCAGAAAGTCTGACTGAAACAGCTCAAAATGCTTTTAATAAAATTACCCCATTTATTACAAGGAGAGTTTATTTTTACTTATTCATAGCCTTAAGAGAGTTCATCATAAGACTTTAGTTATTTTGTGTTTCTTAGTAATGAGTGCTGCATGAAAGAGAAAACTGTCCCGCCACATGCCACTTCACAAATATACTCTTACATTGTATCATTATCCATCCATTTTCTTATGGCTTTTTCCAATACAGGGGGGATGCTGGAGCCTATCCTGGCTAGCAAACATGCTTACATGCTCCAGGTACTTGCTGCACAATGTCTTTATAAATATATAAAGAAAGATGTTAACAAAATAAGGGAGACAGCCAATTACACCAATCAACAAATCTCTCTATTTTCCAGTACAGTGCCATACAGGTACAGTATGCTAAAGTATATTAGTATATACTGTGCATTAACACCGCTGTACCTAATCACCATCATCACCAAGCTAGCTACATCCAGTAAACTGAACTCAAACACCTCCCTTCACATTCATCTCAAGCATCCCTCCTCCACCCATCTCCATGTAGCAGTGCCCCTTCAGTGTGAACAGGCTTCGAGCCCTTTCGTCCTGTGACCAGGAGGCGACCCATTAGCCAGGTGGGTTAAGCACATTTCTTTTCTCACCAAGTAATCACAAAGCATTCAATTTATGGATGATGATGTCCCCAGTGAAGTAAATATTATCATTCTAAAAAGACAGTCCACAACCAGGAGGAAAAGTGCACAGGCTGCAGCTAGGAGCAGAAGGGAAAATGCCTATAACTGAGCTCATAATCTAAACTTCACACCTGTCAGTCCATTTAAAAAAGAAATATGCCATGTTGATGCCATTTAAGTTAATCACAATGCTCCAGCAAGCCCTCCACCCTGCAGGATTCCTGCATCAGACAGGACTTCTTCCCAACCAGCATGGCCGCCCCACTGGGGGGGTTCAGCAGGATTATTTTGGGACAGCAATCGTCAAAATTGTTATTCTTGCTCTACAGTTAATCAATGTGTACTTGTGATCATGTGATGAATATGAATGATAAGTAAAAAATTATATTTTAATCGATCGCAGTGCATTTATTTCCTCAGAGGGAAAATGTAACCAAATACTGACTTATATTCCGATTATACCCTGAAATGTACTTAATGTGAATGGGCCCCAGTACTTACGGTGTCTTGAAATCACCTGGTTGAACACAAAGTAGGTTTTTGTTTCAACACATTCAAATGGATAACAGAATTACCCAAAACTAAAATGTATATTGTATTTATCATTTAATGTATATGAATCACATGATTACAAATACAAATAACTAAATAACAAAAATAAGTTTGTCTCTTTTGTCCCAATTCTTTTGGAGGGGCAATGTACACATATAAAAAACTACTCATACTACAGAGAATGTGAAAAGGCAAAGCAAGGATTGGGAAAAATAATCTATATACAGTGTTTTTAAAGATAATAAAATGTACATTATTGACCCCATAACACATTCATTTTCCCTGCTGTTGTTTCAGTCCAAGGCCATTCAGCACACCACATCATTTTTCCCCACATACTAAGTGATTATTCTAGATAAGACTTTATTGATCCCGTAGGGAAATTGATGTGTTACAGCAGTCCAGTCCAAGACAAGCAAATAATTACTGGAAGACTCCAGCTTCAGTGCCTCCAAAAAGCATGATAATCTATCCATGCTCTAATACTTTATATAAAAAAAACTTTTCTAGCATTGATGAAAATTCATATTTAACAATTTGTCAGTTGTGGCCTAATATTTTAGCCTACTGGAGTCAACTTGGTTTCATATGTATAAAAGTTTTAAAAAATCAAGATCAAATCTCTTCCTCACAACCTTTTACTTAAACCGGAAAGATTCTTCAATAGGTAATCATAAATTAATCTTATTGCCAATTTTTTAACACTCTCCAAAACAGGCAATCCAGTAGATGTTCTGTTATATGTTTACATATATTCATGAGGAATGTGTGTTATGAGAAATGCCATTAAAATAAAAGCTGTCAGATGGAATATTGTATGTTTGAACAGGAAAACAATAAATAAATGATTAAATCAGTAAAATGGAGTGTCACAACAACACTATCAGGGCTAAAAAAAAAGCACACACGATAGAATCATTGATAGTCAAGAATGAAGCCAACTTCTCTCACACGAAAGACCAAAAATACACAGCAACTGACTAAACAACAGAAAACAGAAACTACTTCCTCTGGAGTAAGATCTGTGGTTCGCAAAGACGATGAAATTAAAATGGCACCACCCTGCACTTCTGCTATTGGGTGCCATGAAAGATTTTAATAGGTATCCAGACTAATCCATCTGCAATAACTGCCAGAAATCATTTGCCAAACTGATTGTTAACACTGGAGTAAAATAGGCACATTATTGTGACTGGATATCGTGAATATTTAGTAGATGTTGAAAGATACAGCTCGGCAAGTCAATTTCTCACCTGCATTCAAACCAAATTTACATGGAATGCAAGGAGGGATTTTTGTGCCCACAGCTTTTTCACTCCATGAAACAAAAACAAGTCGGTTCTGTCATGTTGCATCTATTTTGGTGACAATGACAAAATGTTGTTGTTTTTTTAATACCAACCACTATTCAAACATAAATAATGTAATTCTACAAAGAAAGCAGATAAATAGTATCAAACTAAAAGGGAGTATTACCTTGATCTTCGATACTAAGGTTTTTGATCATCCACTGCACAATATCAGAACCTGAAAGAAAACAAACATGAAAGATCAAATAACAGTAGAATCTAAAGTCATACAAAAGACATCAAAAGCATCATCTTTTGACTATTTTTGACTATATGCAAATAATTTTCAAGTAGAACTATGTGGGTAGTTAAATGCCCACCTAAACAAATTATCCACTTTTTTCAGTGATTTGGGGCCGCCTACTACTATCCATTAATTCAGATTAGAAGATGGTGATGATACAGACCGTATGTACTACAATAGTCAATATACAATCTGGTGAACAGCACAATCCACCCACTGCTGTAACTATACCTTCAGGGTTAATCTAGATTAAATGATTTCTAATGAAATCGACACGGTGTGACATACAGAGTTCACATTTTCATTACTAATCGTTAATAACATTTCAAAGACAAAATTCCCGAAAGTCCTGAATACATCAAAAACGCATTTTAACTATCAGCATTTGAAATGCCTAAGGCAAGTCTGGTATCAATATGCAGGGAAACGTGTCTGTTCTGTTCTAAACGTGTAAATATAAAGAATATATTGTTTGATAACAACTTGGTTAACATCTTCACTGGATTTTTTGATTATGCTGGAATTAAAATCATCACCCAATCCACACACATTGTAGCCTATAAAAAATGAAAATGCAAGCAGTGAAATAATTGAAAGTTCATGTGAAATGCATTGTCATTCCTAGTGTGAACCCTTGTTTGGTGCAAAAAGAATTTGCCTGAAGTCAATTTTTACTTCTTTCGGATCAGTATGAAACATTAAGCATCTGAAATCTACAAATCAATAAGGTAAGCTTATCAGCATAGATAGGATTTAAAGGAATACTCAGATCAATGAGAGCACAGTACAAAACGAAATTAACAGAAAAAAATTTCAAGTATAGCCTTTCATTTTCATTCAAATGGAGAGTAACTTCAAATTTCATTTCTATATAACAATTTTCTAGTAATTTAACATTGTTTTAAGATTGAAATGCAAAAAGATGTAGGAAACGTATTGAAAATCAACACAGACAACTGCCTACCTGCTACCCCGGCTTTTCGCACATGAAATCAACACCAGCTGCTCAGATGTTCTAAATTTAAGCTTTTTTAATTATCACTTTCACTCCTCTAACTTTGGGGACAGGCCTGTAACAAGTAACACATACATGGAAGGAGTTCTGTGACCATATGGAGCTGTATAAATAAGCAAGGCATTTATTTGAAGATTTGCCACTTTTTTTGGCTGACTTTATGTCAAGTTGCCAAGAGAATGGCTTTCTTGAGCCTACTTTCAAGCATAGATACTAATGCATAGATACCACATGAAACATTATAATGTATTCGTTTCATCTCTCCCCGTATGCCAAAGGGTAGCTAATTTACTTTTGAAACAAAGTGGAGTTCCTGGAATCCTTTCATTTTTTTGTGAAAATGTTTAATGTATAATCCTTGGAATGATAAATTCTTATAGATACACCCATAAAATATATATATATATTTGAATCCGGTATTGCTCACACCTGGAGAAGGCTCCACAACCAAAACGTTGTTTCCTTTCTTGTCTTTTCAGTATGGATTAAACTTTTACTTGTTCCTTAAAATATTGTTATGCATACCCGAAGGTCTAGGGGTATATGGAGTGCGCCATTGAAGGAACCCCAGGCGTGCAGGAAGAAATCTTTGGGGCAGTGAGATAGTTGTAACGAATTACAGCAGGTAAATAGAAGTGGGATATGTACAATTTGAATAGGTGACTGGTATGGGCGTAAGGAAATATGAGTGGTGCCAAAGGAACGAAAATAAACAAAATGGAGCTGGCTAATAAAGTGAGGAGAAGCTGACGTACTGTAACTACAAAAAAAACCCCCGAAAACCCAAGTCTTCGGCGCCTTCTTACGCCCTGGCTAACCTCCCAAAACCATACAAGACAAAAGGCACTCGCCCGTCCTAAACTAGTGTTTCTAATACAAACTACGTGTGCACAGTGTTACCCGACAACCATAACTCTTTACACTAAAGTTCACACAAATAAACAAGTGAGCTACGAATACAAATAAAATGGGGGAAAGAGTGTAGACAGGGAATAGGGAATAAAAGAGCACAGAGGTTGATACTGTATAACACGTCTCGACAAACCAAAATACAAGGAGGAGACGAACACAAACCAACAAAGCCGAAGCTATACGGAAACACACCCGAAGCATCACGAACGAGAACGAAGAAAGCCGAAGCAAACCGAAGCCGAGCGAAAGGCCCCTTACCCTCTCAAAGTTTCCAAGTTAAATTCCGAAGAAGCTGAGTTCTGATTGGTCGAGAAGCTGATTACGAATGACGAATTACGGCCAGGTGAATGAATTAATGAACCAATGGGGAGGGAGGACAACCAAAGTCAGGAAGTGTGGAACACAGAAACAAAACAAACACACATGGACCGCACTGGGACGTAAGAATATATATTGTATACTATGCAATAAGGTTAAAAGTTATGAAAACATTCCCCACTAATAAAAAACGAAACACCTGATGATATCTGAAAAAAATAAAGAAAATTAAAACTTAGTCAAAAGTGTGTTCCTTCCTTATTTTCAAATTGTTTTGCTATTTATTAACTCTTCATAAAAGAGTGCTTTCTCTACTTTGATAAAATGAGGAGTACAGGTACTGTAGGTGGAGGAATGAATTATACAATGACTGTATGATAATTCAAGAGTGTTATGCGTCAGTGATACAGATCCTTTCAGTTGTGGGATTTATAGAAAGTGATTTTTTTACACAGTTCTTGAGTATTAGTCCTTAAGGAAATAAATTAATGAAATCAGTTTTTTTATTGTATAAAAGTCACAGGTTAGAGGTGTTCTCAGAACTGCAAACAGTTCTGAACAGAAGTGCCACTCAAAAATGTCATATAAAGTGTATTTTCAACTAAATATTCATCAAACATTTCAATGTCATAGCATCTTACAAGTCAAAACTGTTCTCCTTTGGTATAGTCAACTGATAATTGAAGTGTAAGGGCCCAAAAGGAAAGATTTGCAAAGAGCTAAGACAGTTCTGTAGATGTTTAAATGTGTCCTACAGACGGTATAAACACTATGTTTTTGCTTTCAAGGTTTAGCAATAAGACAGTCATCTGATATTTTAAATGTTGTCCCAGCAAAACACAAACCAGGATCTAGGTGCTGCGTATGTTGATTAATATGTGTAAGTTCCACATTTCCCTGGATTTTCAACCAAACCTTTCTCTGCAAAAAGACATATAGTACCATTATTTTAAATTATCATACATAATATAAAGGTATCAATGGCATTTAATGTTTTTTTTTTGTGTGAAAGGGTGATCTATTTCACTAACATTCATTACCCTGACAGAAAATCATTTCCTGTCAGGTCCTTTTAACAGTGTTTAAGTGATTACTTTAATACGTCTAACTGGAGGGATAACACAATTAAAAATGGCATTGTAGAAGATCACGGAATACCTTGATTGGCATTGCTTTTCAGTAAGAATAAACAAATGTCATTTCAGAAACCCCGTTTAACAATTTAAATACAGCACAATGACTGCTTGAAAAACTTGAAAAACAAATGTTAGTACAAAAGAAAACAGTCTTCCAGCATTTTAACAGCATTTACAAAGCAGTCTTACAGCATTTTAAAATATGCCTTTTCTAGAACAGAGAACCAAAAGAGAATTTATAAATCTTCCTATTAACTATCTTTTTTTAACACTCTGCAGGTGAGTGACACGCTATTTTCATTTCCTGAGATATACAACAATCAATCAGGTAAGAAAGAATAAGTGTCTTTAGGGTTTTCTGCTTTACAATATCTCACCTGGATTGGAGTGGTATATTCCAAAATTTTGGGGGGATAAACTGCAGAAAGTTCAGAATTCTGATTGTGATTGTAAGTGATGTCTATTGTTTTCAAACAGTACTCCAAAGTAATAATTCAGACACCTACAGACATCTAGCCATTCTTTCTGTTTGTTTTCAGGTATGTTGTTTCACTAGGAATGACAACACCCAAGATTAAAGCGTCATTAAAGGAATATGGAGCGACATTTTGGCTTAACCTGCTTGGCTGTGGGCTGACCTCCCGGTCAGGGGACAAGGAGGCCATGACCCCCATGCAGGGTGACCAAGGGGCAGCTGCAGAGGTGGAGATGAGGTGGAGGTGGGATGCGAGAGAGAAAGATAGGGATTTCGTAGGTATTTATAGCGTTTGGGAGAGGAATGGATTGTCAAGAGCGATTGCTAATTACTGACTGCTGAGTCTGAATGAACTTGGTTGTTGTCATCCCTCCCGAACGTTTGTTATAAACTCCATATGTCACTTTGATATTTTTGAGAGTTTGTTTAATGCATATATTTTAGCAGTTTCTTTAATCAGATGTCAGCAGACCTGTCTGTATCTTTTGAAAGGTCTCCTAGGACTAGCGTATTGCAACAGGAGTCTCATAGGTTGGGGAAAACAGAGTCTTAGGTTAGTCTATAAGCACTGGATATACCATATCTAATTTCCTATAAAAACTTAAAAAAGGTTTTAAAACACCAAATGAAAAGAATTCACATTTTGACATAGTAAACAGTAAAGATATTAATACCTGAAATGAAGAACAACCCTTTGGTAAAGCTGGGCTTCAGACTAGCGAGATACTGAAGCAGAATGTGCAGACTTAGAAAATACAGCATTTACAGTGAGATTCACTTGGGTTAAGAAAACAGCTTTGGGAAAAAAGGGAAAAGGTTTGGTAATGGAATCCAAAATTCATATCCAATAAGGTGATTTTGGATTACTGTGCTTTTGTATATTAATCTACTGTACCACTTGTCAAACAGCTTTGACTCTCTACTGCTACAATACTGTTTAGATGTACTGTAGCTGAAACATTTGACTGAATTAATTTGAAGAATTTCTAACATATTTACCCAATATTCTCCCCAAGACCTTATGTAAATGTGCCACTGTCAATAAATTGCATTATTATGTATTAATATGTAAGCCTTT